CATTCATTTTCAATTAATTTTATGAAATATTTCTATCATTTTTATCCAAATTTATCAAATGCTACCATACAAAATCGAATGGATTCAATTTGTCAACAAAACTTCCTACGTGATTAATTGATTTTAATACCATAATTATTATCATCACTATTACTATCATTGTTGTATTTTAGGTTGTTTAGCCGATTAATCGTTGAAAAAAAATTCATGCACTGTTACAACGTTAAATTATACATTATTATTATGTTCAAAGTAATACCGTAATACTGTAATATTGCCTCATTTCATCATCGATATTTCATTTAAATTACATTTCAGCAATCAATTTACATGATAATTACACTTAATCAAGTATTAACTGTTAAAATTTATTAAATACTAACTGTATTTGAATACGAAGAATTTAAATTTAACACAATTTTTGTATAATTATTTGTATAAATTTAATATATTTATTTACATGAACGAATATTGATTACACTATCATTGGTGTAAAGTATATTATTATTCGAAAAATAACTAAAATAATTTGAAATAAATTATTGCTTATATTTAATGTATTAAAAAATGAAAGCCAAATGTTAGAACATTTCGTGCTATATTCCCATTCATCTTTGGCCCCAAAAAAAAAAAGCCTTGGCAACAAAAAAAAAGGAGCCAAATATTTTGAAATGTCAGTAAGTATTCGTTTTCATTTTATCTTCCTCATAAAGACATTTTCTATCTTTGTGTATATAAGTATTATTTTATTAATGACAAAAACAGTTCGTCTGTGCTGATAGCATAAACTAAGTTAACCAATACTTGGTTAGCTTATCTCATGACTAAATGATATGAACATGCAGTAGTGATAAGTGATAAGAATATGAGCATGAATGCAGCAGTGAATGAAACATGAACATGCATGCATTAGTGATAATCAATTATGCATGAAATATTGCTAAAATTTTATAATTAGTACAACTCAGCTTCTAATTTCCTTTCTAATTATTAAAATACTCGGAAACAACATAACAGTGTTAGCATTAATTAATTAGTTGATATAGATTAAATAAATTATTTTTAAAAAAGGAATAGAAGGAAAAAAATAGTTTCTTTTATCATAACATAATAATTGTTAATTAGCAAGATAATCACAACAGTCTTATGATGAAGCAATAATTTTAACATGATATCATTTAATTTTAATTATAGATGATATAGCTTAGGTGGGTTTTTTTTTCCAGCTATCACTTTTTCCTCTGTTACAATATGATAATTATTGATCAGTATGATAAAGAAATATAAGGAAAATGAGATTTTGATAATAATAATAAATAATAAAATCAATAAAAGGATCTAAAATAGACTAAATGAATGAAAAAGGAATGAAATGATATGAAATTGAGAAAGAATGATATGATAATTTCCCACTTTAGCGATAGAATAATAGAAAGGATGAAAAGTGAAAGAGCTAAAATGTGATGAGAAGAAAAGGAATTGTGATGGAATAATAATTTATAACATTTTCATAACAATATTCTCCATTCCATTTATGCAAATGTTTTTATCTAACAAAGCAAAAACAAAAACAATAATAGCAACAAATTATTAGTTATAACAATACTAATAATATTGATAGTGGTAGTGCTAACAATAATAATAACAATAATAATAATAATAATAATAATAATAACAATAATAATAATAATAATAATAATAATAATAATAATAATAATAATAATAATAATAATAATAATAAT